TGAGGTCATTTGGACCAGCTCGAGCGTGCGGCACCTTGGATGGGTCCCAAGTCGGCCGCGTGCCCCTCTGCTCCGAAAGCGGATGCGCAGTGCCTATCTGGTCACACGTTTAAAAAAAAGAGGTGAAGTAATTACTGATTTCTTTCGCTGTTGGTTTTCCAGTTGCCGAGTGTGATGTCGGTATTGTGTTTGCTTATATTTGTACCTCTGGTTCTTCTATGATGTCATAATATAGCTGTGAAAAAAACTGAGATGATTCTATCTGCCTGAACATTTAAACTGTTTTTATCGCCCCGTGTATAAAGACTGCATTCTCACGTTGCATTCAGTCTCTGTCTTGCTCCCTTTGTCTGCTTTACGCATAAGTTAAGAACTTTTGTAACTCGTTTTTCTACTTCTAAATCTCACACGGCTTTACACTCCTTAGTTTGTGTGAGTTCTGTCTGTGCACCATGTATGTTTAAAAAAAAAAACCAAACAGAATGGCCACAAATAAAAAAAATGGATTCAAGCTGAACTCCAAGTTCTTAAAGCTCTCTTGTTTTTTTTTTTTAATCTTCTTGTTGGTGCTCAGTTTTTTTTTTTTAAATCCTTCAGGAAGGGGGGGGGGGCATTTTTGCGGAGGTGTGACGCTCAGATTCTGAGGGGGCGGACGGGGGTGTGGCGGAACTGGAAACGGCGGCAGAGCCTGGCAGAGGCTCCGGAGCAGAATGGGGTTCTGGACAAACTACGGCATGATGTGCTGGGGGCATGGCGTCCACCGGGCAAACTGATGGGGGGGGGGGGAGATGAAAATAACAGACGGGAAGGGAGGGAAATTTGGTATGGGATGGAAAGACGGCTCTACACTGACAGACACTTCGCTGCTGCAATGTAGAAGGAGCGTGGGTGAGATAGGAGGACATACAGATCCTTATTGAGGCATTTCAGCAGGGATTTTACCATGGTACAAGCCCCTGTAATGGCCCAGGAGCACCGTGGCCTTTCCAAATAAGGAAGAACACAGCCGGGTCGCACAGCATGCTGGGATACGCTCCAGGTCCCCCCTCGGCCATCGTGGACCGGAAGAGCGGTCGGAAGATGAATGGACAGTGCATGAGCCTGGCCCCCTTTAATTAATAATGTGTCACCGCCCCAAGGTGCCTCCGGATTGACGGCCAGGAATTTAACAGGGGATTTCAGTGATTTTACCCGCCTCTGACGGGCCTCGGCGGCGGAGCACGGTCACATGATGTGGATGTTGATCGTTTAAAAGGTAAAGGGGCTGCGCAGGTCCGGCTGGACCCGTGTGCTAAGTTACTGAGATCATAGCCACTATAATAATCCCGACAAACTGTTCTCTGCGTGCTTGGCGCGGCGCCCTCGTGTGGCGCGTGTGGCCGTGACGCATGCCCGCCGGCCACATGCCTCCATCTCCACACCTACGCCGGCGTGCTCTTCCAGGCGCCCGCTCGTCACGCCTCTCTCGTCGCTGCTTTGCGTTGCTGCGTTATCGCCGCGTGCCTCTGCATTGCCCTTGATTCCGTCTTGCTGCTGTCCTCTCGTTCCAGGGTACGACGCACTTCATTGTACAATATTAATAACCTCTGAAGGCCACACTGTCTCTGCCTTGGCTTGTAAATTATACATCCGTCATAATTAACTCTGCCCCGGCTTTTCATGCCATTTCCATCCTACCGAGACCCATTTCATCACCGCTCGTCCCTTTGAGGTACGGCGTCTCCCATCCTCCCCTTCTCACTGCGTCGCAGTCGTCACTACGGCTCTCTGACTCAAACCCTCCCCCCTCCGTGTCACCCGCTGTCACTGGAGGCTAACGCTTGCCAGAAGAGCTCCTGTCACGTTGGAGCCGTGGCAAACGCGGCCAGCGACCTTGGGAACAGGAAGGCTGTGTGAAAAACCAACCCCCACGATCATTATCATTTTGGGCCGTATTCGGATGCTTTTTTGCGCAGTCGTGTTTAGTTTCGGTTAACAGGGCAGCCATTGTGCTCCAGACTGTCACCATGCTGGTGTCAAAGCGGTTTCTGAAAATACATCAAAGGGGTTGGGGGGGGGGGAGTTTGACAGGCATAGAGCTGAAAGCCGTTCGTATTTCAGCCCGATGTCACCGAAACTCACATAACCCGTGACCATCTTCTGTAAAGCGACGCTTGAGGAGGACTGGGTGAGTACAGGAAGGACAAGCGCGGACAAAAGCTGAGCCTTCCATACAGTCCCAGAAAGATCCACACGTGGACAGATGCGAGACAAGGCCTGGTCTCCCCCTCCCCATTCTGTCTCTCACTTCCAAGATTCGAGATCCAAGCTATTTATTGTGCAGTGTTCACACAATGAAATTCTTAGTTTGCTCCTCCAGATGCTGCGGTAAAAAAATGAGGTACAGAAAACAATAGCACAGTAGATAAAGATATAAAAAATACATATCCACCTTAGATAAGAATGTCAAAGTATGTATGAATAAATAAATGAATAAACAGACAAACAAATAAATAAGTAGAAGTGGCTAACAATGTAAAATATACATAGATACTCATATCACTCTGAGTGTTCCCCAGAGACTGTTCCCTATTTCTTCTCAGTGCCCATGTTGTACAGACCATCAATCTCTTTATTCCCTCCCTCCACTATGGTAAAGTTACCATAAACCCCCTTGTTCTTAAGTGGAGGCCCCCACTATGCTTTGATACCTTTGCCCACCGGCCACCAATCTAGATTTATGTACATTCGTGTCTTTCTTTGGTCTGTTTGATACACAGCATCAACTTAATTTCAGTTTGTCATTTATGGTGGTGTATCTTTTTCTTCTTAAGCTGAACAATGTCTGATCCCACACTTACCCACTCATTTCATTGTACAAATCGATCCCTGGTTAGATGTTTCATAATCCAGATTTCAACCCTCTGTCAGAGGGGACTGGGCCACGTAATTCTGTCTCAATAATGTATTCGACTGTGCTTAGATAAACCAGCTTAGTCATTATGAGATCAGTTCTTTGATTGGCTTACTGGGACAAACACACAGAGATATTAAAAAAAACAGTCAGATCACTTATTTCAGTCATTTCAAGATGTTTACTCAACAGTTTAATTCAGCAGTGGGAGTGAGAGTCGCAGCCCTTTGGATGTGATCAGATTTACTCACACTGTGACACAGTTTACTTTTGACCTAACATGAATCACACAGAGATTCAATTTAAACAAACATGCTCCTTATACATGAACTCATCAATGGTGAGTAAAGCAACTAATTCATAAGCACTAAGTGAGGTATAAGCAATACTATAGACAATGAACCATTGCAACCATGCAAATATGCTTATGTCTTCCTTTACAACTTTAATCACTAAAAAAACATCACCCCTCCCCTTGTGCTATTTCACTTTATCTGCCTGGGATTAATAATCCCAAGTAATCCCCAAAACTAGAATAAAAGGTCATCTCTAGCTGAATAAACTGGCACAAACGTGTCTTCAAACAATTCTATGATATTAGAACAAAATTCAGCAAGACGTATTCTTCAAACTGCCCAGAGCAAATGCGAATTACATGTATGCAGATTAAATAAGCAGATCTGTCCTGCAGAAATTCTGTATTAATATTCTGGGAACATATGATGTGAAAAAGTACAACTGTTTATGTGATTAAAGTAACATAGTAGAAGGCAATCGAAAATTTTGTATCCTGTCATTCATCCTTGATTTAATTAACACAGCATGCACTTCTGTGGACATTATGTGGCACACAATAGTGAACATTTTAGGACTGATTAGAAAAGAGACACAGGCGATTCCTGATGTAGGTCAATGGGCTGAGGCAGGGGCAGAGAGAGGAAGCAAGGATGGAGAAGATGTGTTTTATCAGCACGAATAAGACTGGACACAGTTGCCACATATAAAATTCGTATAGCTGTGACACTTAACACTTCACTTTCAACAGGTTAATTCTGTTTCATGATCAGTTTGCAGATCATTCAGGGAAACCAAACATTATTTATAAACCCATACTAACTGCCATAGTTCATCACTGTATGATGTAGAATTGTATATTTCATGGATCCATCTTCCAAAACCACTTATCTGTCACACTGTCACAGTAATCCTGGAGCGTACCCCAGCAAACACAGGGCAAGAAACTAGGAAATACCCTGGTGAAAATGCAGTCTGCTGCAGGGTACAGTTGTGTATTTTATAGTACAAAACTGATGAATGCAGAGATAAGTGACATTAGCATCCAATGTAGATTAAACTCTTTTTCCCCTGACATGCACTAACTATAACTCATAATTAGCAATTGGAACATGAGCACCAGACAAAATAAACCATTTTGTATACAGAGAGAATATAAACTGTCACACAGAAGTTATATCTAAATTATTTTTTATTTTGTTATGTGTGTTATACATACTGCAGTTCCCATTTGATTCATTAATAATAAACAAGCATGAAATTTGTTGAGGAGCTGTGATTGATATTCTGTACAACAGTACTTGCTTCAAGCCCAGTTTGTTCAGAAGCATCACTATATAATGCGATAAGTCAATTAAGCCATTGCATCACCGACCACTGGGGAATCACCAACCATTCTGCTTTTGCGTCTCTAAGGATATCTCAGCAAGCTGCAATGAAACACAACCACAGTGGCATACATATAAGAGATCAAAGTGGGTAGGCTCTTGTGTAATAACTATTGGATTTTATATCGACGCTACTTCCAATAAACTCATGTAATGATTACAGCAATTAAGGCCACTATAACACCTCTTCAGCGGTATGACAAATATTCAGGCGTTTGTGATAGAGAACTAAAGCGGTCCTTCTTAGGTGCTACATGTTTCTGATTGACGGGCGTATCTACCAATAGAAACGAAGATTTAACACTGGGTGGGTCTTTCCACAAGAGGGGAGCGACACTGGTCGCTATGGCTGAAATGTCTCCTTAACAACCAAAACAGAGGCAAGAAACTTCTGTAGCTAGCTGCAAGAGAACGGTATATTACTTATAAGCTATTTATCGAGACAACAGCTAGCAGTTTAACGTATATGCACACGTGCAATTTCTGTGAGAGTAATGAAACAATCAGCATATGGAAACCTTATCGGTTTCGTGTGTCGTGCTTGTCTCGATGGAGAGAGATGTTTTCGATTAGTAGATATTAAAATGGACATAAAGTGTTTTGCAGCTATATAAATCGACTGTCATAAGTTCACTACTAGTCAGTCAGTAAACGTCTAAACATTCTAGCCGTGCATTGCATGTTAGAAAGCACGATCGTTAGCTAACCTATATATCTCTGGAGTGTGTCTTAAATGCATTGATGATTTGCTGCTTGGTAAAACCTAACTTTTAACGACTTATGCAAAGCAAATTAGTCACTGCTGTACAGCGAACTAACAGCTCGTTCCAAAAAGTGGAAATGCATGTGGCTGTAGCGATGGAAAGCGTTTCAAATCATTTGGGCTCAAACTGCCAATGTAGGGCTATTTTGGTAAGGAATAAAGACCTATTTAACCGTATGTCCTTGACCTACAGCTAGCTGCACTGTCAGGAGTGTTAATGACGTTTGCTGCTTGTGGTCTTCTCTCCAAGGTGCAATAGGTAAGGGGAATGGCTGAGACGGCCGAAAGCAAGAAAGAAGAGGCGGATTACAAAAGGGTCCACAGCTTCCCTTTGATCAGGGTCAGCAAAGTGTGTGTGTCTGTGGGGGTAGGGGGGGGGGTGGTCGTGTAAAGTCAGTGGCATAATTTCTGATGTTGTTCCTTTATTCTTTATTAAATGTTGAAATTAATCATGGAAATTGTAATTTCATTTTCAGTAACATCTGTGGACTGTGATCATAGGTGGGAGTGGTGCCCTAAATCGGTGCTAAACCCGTAAATCGCTTTGTGTTCGCTGTGCAGCACACGGACATGCCTGAGGAGATGAGAGTGGAGACCATGGAGCTGTGTGTCACAGCCTGTGAGAAGTTTGCCACCAACAATGAGGTCAGGACATGTGTGTGTGTGTCTGTGTGTTCTGTGGAAGTCCAGTGTCTAAGGAAAGAATGACGACTGAAATGGGAAATTTATGCTGGAAAGCAACACAAACATGCGGAGAACTGTAAAGTGTATATCTACCACGCCGCCATTCCATCTCAATCTCCAAGTCCAAAATGAAGCAGACCTAGATACAGATCATCCATTTAGCTGGAAACCTTTTTACATACTAAGGGACTATGGTGTTCAATGTCGTAACTTTTTGGCTCCCCATAAGTGCTTTGTGGTAACTGAGAATTACAAAGATTAAGTACAAACTCAATTGTAAGAACTATTGTCAGTAATGCTATAACAATGGAGTAGTGGTACAGTGATTATATGAATGATAATTCTTGTGTTTCTCCGGCACGGCATCTCATGTCCGTATAACAGGCACGCTCCTGCTGGGTGCTTTTTAATCCCAGCTTTGAGTCATCCAGTTGTTGGTAATCTAATAAATGCTTCCCGTTATTAGTTCAGTGCCCTGTTTACATGTTACTTGCCCCCTATTTTCATTCAGCAAACGTACCATTCTGAGCGAAGCAGAGCGTTTCAAAGAAAACAGCAGCTCCTTTCACTCGTATATATCACCTTCCTGTTGATTCCAAACAAAATATGCTGCCTGCATTTGCCTAAAGCAACACTGTATGAGAAATGACCTTCTCTCAGAGTTGCATTAACTCCCCGGCTCCTCGTAATAGATGCCAGCCTGGCTGTAACTGCATGTATTTTCATTTGGTTTCTCTCATATTAATTGGGGGCTGTGTTTTCTTCCTAACCCTCGTTTGTAAGTCAGTCCACTGATAGGGAAACATTGCCGCATGTCAGAAGTGGGGGATTTAACTTTCCGAAAGTACATTACAATAGACTGTTCAACAAGCAAGGGGAACACAACAGACTGTTCCGCCGTTTGCTGCTTTACAGATTATAGTTTGTAATAACTGCTGCCAGTGGCTGACAGACACCAGTGTAGGATGCGCTGGGCTGGATGTCTCTCACTAAAACTGTAGCTTTGTGGCTTCAAGAGCTCCGTAATTAAATTTTTTGTCTCAAGAAGGACTTGATCTCCTTATTTACTTAAATATATTGATATCGTCTCACTTAGACAGGAAACTTCTTGAGGTAAGATGAGTATCGGTGCTTCACATATCAGAGTCTGATGCACTGAAAGGGTCGGTCTTTGTGATACATTTCTGGCACTTTGTTCACAGATGCTGCTTAGGATGAAAGTACCTTCGGAGTGAATGAACCCTATGTGTGTAGGAAGAGTTCACACATTTCAGTCATTATTGCTAAAATGCTTGTAGTTTTTCCCCCTTAGTAAATACCCAACAGGACAGCAGAAAGTGTTAATTTCACAATTAATACATTTATATGCGTAACTAATCTGTATGGCTGCGGTATGCATGAATACAAAGGTACCACATTACTTGTTTATTCAAAATATTTTTATTGTTTGTATGTAGAATGTGTGACTGATTGACAGAGGTGTGAATGATGAGCGAATGTTTTTTTGTGTTTTTGTATTTTGATTTATCTTTACCCAACCCCAATGTGGGACATCTGGCTCCTGGAGGAATGACATTTCATGGTCGCCTTGTGGGGCCTGATGCACAGATGTTTGTGTACATGGGTATATAGTTTGGCATATGGGGAGATGATGGTAAAGAATCTTGAATGTGAGGGTGCTGTACAAAAGGTCTGTGGGTCAAGGATGGTTTTATAAATTGCTTCGTAGAATTGTCAGCCCTACCGTGACCCGGCTCTCTTCCCTTCCTCCTCTCCAGAGTGCAGCGAAGATGATCAAGGAGTCGATGGATAAGAAGTTCGGAAGCTCGTGGCACGTGGTGATCGGGGAGGGCTTCGGGTTCGAGATCACGCACGAAGTCAAGAATCTGCTGTACATGTTCTTTGGAGGCAGTCTGGCAGTGTGTGTGTGGAAGTGCTCCTAGCGAGGTGTGTGTGTGTGTGTGTGTGTGTGTGTGTGTGTGTGTAAGTGCTCCTAGCGAGGTGTATGTGTGTGTGTGTGTGTGTGTGTGTGGAAGTGCTCCTACCAAGGTCTTCTGCTGACCTGTGTTTGTGTGTGTGTCTGTCAGTCAGTGTAAGTGTGTGGGGCTCTGCTCCTCAACTCCAGCCTCTCTATACCGTTATGTCCTGCTCTGACCTGCCTGTCTGTGTTAGATCAGATCAGGCTTGTTCTGCAGAAATGCCTCATATCCAGTGTCTCCTGCTGCAGACTTGCTCTCAGAGAAACCGCGTCTGAATCCTCATCACTCTCTTCTGTTGGCCTCCCATCCTTCCTCTTACACGCCATTTTAGAAATTCACCTCACATTTCCTCTCACTTTCTGGGAGGGGAAAAAAAATGTTTATCTCTATGAGCTGTCTGGCCATCTGTCAGCAAAACACTCACATCCCTGTTCTTCCCTCCCTCTCTGTCTCGTAAGTCCTTTTTTAACTACACTAGTATAAGTATTTTGTAATTCTACTGTTCATTGTGTAAATAGTTTGCAACTGTAAAGACTTGAATCTGATTTTTGTATAACACGTCCTCATGTTGAATATTGAAGTGCTGATGGTGATGGTGGTTTGTTCCGACACATCACAAGGGCTCAGTCACTCTAACTTGAAGGAATATTTCTGCAATGTTAGCGAAATTAAATTTTAAATCTGAAATAAGGTTTTTGTCATAAAATGTTTTATGGGTGGTATTTGTATTATTGAGAAAATAATTGTTGTTATGATTATTAATGAGATTTTTTTTTTTTTCTGGTGTTAAAAATCTGTGCAGCGCGAGTATAGGTGACCTAGTTAATTGCATAATAAAATCCAAATTCGACAGGAGAACTGTGTGACTCAGCAATTAATTTAGACAGTGTCACTGTTACGCAATGTACGGTGTGAAATCCTTCGCTTCAAAATTGTCAACTGAGAGGACAAAGACGTTATTTCTGTCTGCGCGGCTTTCTATTCCGTGTGGAAGGGTTAGTGACGAAAAAACACGGGCTGCAAAAGCAAGGAAAAAAAACGTTGGTAGATGTTTAAAAATGTTAATTTCTTGTGGCAACCTACGTATTTATTTAGCAGAGACTTTCATCCAAAGCGACATTCAGTTGAGAAAGCAGGGTCACACTGTCCCTGGAGCAGCTGGGATCAGGGCCTTTAGTAGGGGCCCGACAGTGACATCATCCTACTGGGGTCTGTGACCTTCCGCTCTCAGGTGCGACATCCTGTCCCACTGAGCCGCCCACCACCCTGCATAGCTGCTGACTTAGTGAAATAAACAGGCACTGTGACTTTTAGCCAGACTGTTGTAGACTTTAGGAGTCTCACTAAGAGAGTAAACTCCCCTGCGCTCATATTCACACTTAGTTAATGCTGTTATCCGGTATGCAGCGAATGCTGGAAGTGGAAGAAGAAGCAGGGCAGCGGGTGATGTAGCGTGCGGCTAAGCTGTGCTAGCAGTCCAGGAGGGGTGTCCGATTGCACCTAAGGAGCCAATCACAGCTCCACTTTCCTTTCCCGGTCGTCTAACCCTGAAACTGGCACAGGGGCCTGGTTGGCATCGCTGGCATCTGTACCCTTGTCACCCGCCCCCTCCTGTTCTCCCGTAGCTCTTCCTCGCTCTCTGAGACGGACTGGCGACAGACTGGCGCTCGGGGACTGAGGGGGATTAGGCTGAACTTCGCTACCCAAGCTGTTGCTTGAGGAAGGAGCAGAGAATACCAATGTATTAAGATGGGGGGGGGGGTAGATGGTGATGCAGGGCATTCTATTCGCTCGTGTTTGATGCTCCTGCATATCCATGAACGTTTATCGACTTTCCTGGGAAGAGTGGGAATCCTGTTCCATTGGTTTCCTTCCAGAATATTTCGCCTGACAGCTGCTGACTGTTTTCCTGTATTGTGTACTTGCATATGCTTCTACTATACTCCCTTGACCATAAAATATTTAACACCAGCCAGAGTTAAATCCTGAGCAGTGTGCATGTGCATTTTCAGTTTAAAAACATAACAAACATTACTCTTCAGGCTGCCTGTTCGTGGAAACAAACACTGATTTGCTCCCCTGAACTACTGCTCAGCTTCACGGACACACAACCTGAGTTCGGGCGGCTATGCTATGGCAGCAGTTACCCCAAGCTGGGATGTGCTTCTGTATCAGAAACAAATTGCCCCTAAATGCTCCATGGACAGATAGTGAGAGTGTATCCATATATACAACCAAAAGTACTTTGTTCCCGAAATTCGTTGCTGTTTCTTAGCAATGCACACCCTGCAGGGGGCAGTAGACTTGGGCTTGGCCCCGACGTGAATGCGTCTGCGTGCATAAGAGTTTGAGTGCTTGCATCCCCATTCAATAGTAAACCATTCATGTTAGGTGCTGCTGAAATTAAGTGGTTACTCAAAGCAGCTAATGGTGGACATTATGAGGAGGACGAGAGGGAAAGATGAGGGTCAGAGGGAGTGGGATTATGGGGGGGATTGATAAATAGATGCTAGAGTGGACTGCAGAGTGGGGTGGGTACAGGGAATAAAACAGAAGAGGGGGTTTAAAGAAAAAAAAACAGAATAGGGAGGGTAATGAATTTTTCATGAGATCTGCACCGTTGGGTATTTCTAGCGTAGCATATTTTCGAGAGATTTAAGTTCACCCCAAACCAGCATGGTATTCCACCTGGTGAGCATGTGTTACTGATTTATGAGACTCCATGGAAATCTGTTCGCACTTATATAGGGGATTGTTGGAGTTCTGTCCGGGCAAAGCACCGGAATACCACAGAAAGTAGGGGAGCCATCCATCTTCCCTTAATACTTACCCAGTACAGTAGTGTTTCCCAGTCCGGTACTGGGAACAAACAGATGGTCCACTTTTTTGCTCCCTGCCGGGAGCTGGAAGGGAGCAAAATTGTGAACTGTCTGGCAGGGAGCTGGGAGGGAGCAAAAATGTGAACTGTCTGGCAGGGAGCTGGGAGGGAGCAAAAATGTGAACTATCTGGCAGGGAGCTAGGAGGGAGCAAAAATGTGAACTGTCTGGCAGGGAGCTCGGAGGGAGCAAAAACATGGACCGACTGTGGGACCCAGAGGACCAGGTTGGTAAACACTGCAGTACAGGATAAGTGTGAGCTTGGATCCTATCCCAGGATGCACGGGGCAGGGGACACCGTGGAGGGATGCTAATCCATCGCAGGGATTTTGGGATTTTTCACAGCAAAGCGGGGTGAAGCAGATAAGGAGAAAATATATATATACATGCGACGTGAACTCTGTTTTTTATTCTGTGTTTGTGGGGGCGTGCTGGCTTGCTGTGTAAATGTGAATTAGTCATTTCGCTGCATTATGGCTGCCTGTCAAAGTCTGAAGACTATCTGGCTCTCCCAGCATGAAGCGTCCCTCTGCAACCCGTGGTCGTGACAGCAAATGAACACGGAACGACCCGCTAACCCCGTGTTGCGGTGCGTGTCGCCATTACTGCAGTATTCCCACATTATTTGAGCATCCCATCCCAGTTCCCCCTCAATTCCTGACAACTGCTCATAAACATGACATTCGATAGAGAGGGATCTGATATGAATATCATGGAACCTCACTTGCAGCATCTTTCTGCTTTTCCTGTACAGTCTCTGCTGAGGATATTGACCACGATGGACAGGTGTACTCCCAGGGGCAATTCTAGGATTTTTTTAAGGGGGGGGGCATAAGTGGGGCCATAATTCATGTAGTGGAGCCAACCTTATCATTAGCCAATGATATGTTTTGAATTGGTGAGTGACAGGGGAGGGAGTACTTAGAGGGCCAATCAGCTTTCAGCAGGGCTGGTGCCCCTAAGGCCCGCCCTTGTACACACCCCTGTCTGCTGCACCCCTGAAATGCAGCAAAGCAGGACAGAGGGTAGAGTGGGGGCTCAGTGAGGCTCTAGTGTACCCACAGATAATCTGCACCACGCTGTTGTTGGTTCAAGGCGCTTATGTTCTTCCTGCCGCAGAGTCAGCTGAGCAGTACAGGTCAGGCAGGACTGTTAAGGTGTCACTGCGCCTCTTTTTCAGTGTTTAAATCTGCAAGTTCAGGCGATGTTTGGCACAGCAAGTTATATGATTCTGTAAGCAATTGAAAGGTCATCAGTTCATATCCCAAGGTCGGCAGACTGATGGCGCAAGGCCTTTAACTCCCAGCTGCTCTGGGGACTGGACTGTCTGACCCCCCTTTCTCATTTGTTCATCAATTTGGATAATGACGTCTGCTAAATAAAATGCAAAATTGACAAGACTCAAATGAACACTCAATATCTGATCATCAGTCTCTCAGTTAAATTTACACCTCTAAATTTCATTGCGTAAAATGATCAATACCGCACTGTATAGGTGCTGTTCATTTAAACAGACCACTGAGGACTGAATCACTTCCTTCATTCCTCCCTTTTTCCTAATGACATACTGCTGTCCTCAGAAGAGTCACCAGCCCTGCCCCTGGGTATGAACACATCATTGCTTGTGTGGATACAAGCCACAAACTCACTGATTATTTACCTCTTAAGACTCTGGCTGTGAACAGGGGATGTCAAACGGCAGAGAACAAAAACGTCATTGAGAAATGCCGTGGGATGTATTCACCGCCATCCGTCTTCAAACCTCAGTAGGTATTCGCCTGCCAAACAGTCTGTATGACTGTTTGTTACATAATCCTGTAATGCTCGTAAAGGGGTGGTGTATAAAGCCGTAGAACAGAGATTTTCATCCATGTCCGGTAGGTTGTGGGTTCAAATCCTGTGGCTGGCTGAGCAGCCATATCATTGTTTGGCTAATGGGCTAAGGTCTTAACTCCAGCTGCTACCGGGGTGTTGGATGCTGAATGACCTTGCTCTCTGACCCCAAGCTTTCCTCGCTTGTATGTCACTTTAACTAAAACCACCCGACAGAGAAATAAATGTAACGCAGCGTCCATCTGGATGAAGCGCAGAGTCCATTTGCACCAGTCAGGACAGTCTGTTAGTGTCTATCAGCCTACGGGTGTGAAAAACGCCTTTGTGTTGCGTAACTCCACAAGTACACTGAACAGACAGGCTGCCGTACTTTCGAACAGGGGAGGGGTGTTTGAATCGGATTTCACAGAGATGGTTATCCTGTCCACCCGCAGGAAGAGGCTTCAGTGAGGGCTAAGAGGTGAAATCTCTGGATGTTGACACGGTTGCATTTGATGACCGATGCGTCTAAATATCCGACTCCAGCAATAACGCGACATGTCTGGTAAACCACAGCGCCAAGCGCCAGCAGCACTTGCTAATAAGATCACGATCTAGGATTGACTTCACCACAGTTGCCACGGTTACTGATCCTGTTATATTAGCCGTAATGGCCCCCTGCGACCCCGAATAGGACAAGTGCTTACAGAAAATGGGCGGATGCATAACCAAGCTACCTGCAAATTGATCCTTTCCATCTCCGATTAAAATCAGACACATCAGATTACATACAAGTTTCTGTAATTAATTTCTTCAATTATAAAAACATGCTGTGCGCATGTACCAACAAGCCCCAACACGGGGTCATTGATACATGTTATTTGCTTGGTTGGTGCAACATTAACAAAAATAACCAGAACTTTTGCTTTAATTCAAACTTAAACCAAACATCCATTGTCAGTAAAATAATGCTTCTGAATCAGTAGAACTATTTATCAAACTATCTTATAAATCTAAACACTGACTAATAAGAACAGTAATAAAATAAAATCTTTGCCCCTGAACATTTTAAGAATTTCATCTTCTTTATTTCTTCAAATGTTTTTTTTTTGTTTGTTTCAAATAAAGAACTTGTTTTTAATCGTTGAACCGAAAATACTATTAAATACATTGGGTGTTATGTGCTAACCTGCCACAGCTCCACTCTGCATGCACTTCATGGTACAAGCACTGTAAAAAGAATACTGTAAAATCTACAGTAACTGGCTGGCAGCAATTAGGTAGAAAGTTGCTGTGATACATTTCACAGTATTGTTACTGCAAATTTATTCACAGTACCGGTAAAATACCATAATTTTTTACAATAAATATCATGCAGTACTGTACTGTACAGTACTGTAATTAGTACTTTCAATAGTTCACTCAGATACATATACAATTAAACATTTTTCTGTGAGTTCGTTCTTTGTCTGTTTTTGATTAAAAATATAACGCAGGGGTCATAGCCACCTTAGCAGTGGGCAGCCTTCCAAACTCTTGACAAGATGGAGGAATATATGTAGCTCAACGGCGCGTTAAAATACAAAATAATGAAATTATACATAACTATATTTAAAAAAAAAGTTTTATATTGTGTACGCACGGGAAATCTAGGAAAATATGTGAAGCTGTAATGTGTATGCACGACATGGACATAGGTTACAGGTGTCTTGTTAAGCTTTAAACTGATGTAGCGGATATTATTGCGTGCGTAACCTGTCATACGTCTCAGTCTGAATATCGCAAAACCACCAGAATGTTATTTGTAGGGAATAGTTATACAACTCCGTGTAAACTAGAAATATGTCTACTCATTAAATTAATTTATAATGACTGCTGCAGGAAAGTCAGGATAAACACAAAAATATGTGTTGGGTGGATGGAAAATCTACAGGCGCTTTTCCCCCATTGCATCGTCACGTCAATCATCGTGATCAAGTTAAAGTTTTTGTCATAACTTTTGTATTTTACTCACGTACGCTGGGAGTCAGGTCATAGTAAATATATATGAATATACCTTTCTTCTTAGCGAATAAGTCACTGCATTAATTATAGTGCTGTAGAAGACGATGCAATACGAATATATCTGTGCAAAGGAACTCCTGTCAAAGATGAGTCATTTTCTCAGTTATTAATATAACTGTCTGGTTATTTTATAATTATATCCCTGTATAAATGAAAGAGAACGTTTTTAACAGATACAATGACATTATAATTCATGATTTAGAGTGACCCATCGCGGTAGAAAACAGAAAATGCATGCTGTGGTCGAAATTTTTCAAGCAAGTTAATTCAGACGAGATTAAATAGCAAAATGTTGCGTTATGATTTAACCAATGTTCTTACGATTAAAAGTCAAACTTTAATCCTGGAGAAAGCAGAAAACAGCTAGAATGTTTCGTGATTATGTAATATTTAGTGATCAATATCAGCACAATTTTGAGAGTATAGTGATTTTAACAACAATTATGAGGTTGTATTGCTTTTTGGTTTGGTCTAACCATGATGATCCTTGCCGAAAACATTACAGATCAATATTCACTTCTTCTGTGAACTCTTGGTCTTCATATAGGCCTACTTGCCTGGCTGAATATGGACCTGGTTTTGTACATTCGTCATTTAAATAAAAATTACAAAATGAGCAACAAAAAAAAATCGTTTACCACAGCCAAGGTATACAGACTTATAAAAGTAGTGCTTTGGAACTGTTTATTGCCGATTTCATATTATGGCTTTTTGATATTATGCCACAAGATTAGTTAGAAACTACAGTGCCTAATAATTTTACCCTGACACTTTTTGTTTTATGTTTGGCACTTTATAGCCAACACCCTGGTCGGGGTTCCCATATTTCTAATAGCAAAACAAAAATATCAAAGTGTCATAGCTTCCGTTTTCTAACTGACAAAACCGGTATAACTGCAGATGCAGGGGGGCTACAAGCGACAAAGGTCTTCTGTTGCTTTGTTGGAACTGCATGCTGGAAGATTGATGCTTGGAGAACAAAGCAGATGTGACAGTTGCAGGTTTGAAAAGGCCTAAAGACAGAGTGACAACTGGCTAGATGCCGATATCATGCTGTACAATTTACTCATACCGCTCTTTAAGTAGGGAAAACAATTGCTGATACTCACCTTGTTATTCAGTACCGGGTGCCGGTACTCGCCTTTTTATTAAGTACTGGGTGCCGGTACTCACCTTGTTATTCAGTACCAACACATACTGAGAGCCTGAGAGGTGCAAGTACTCTGAAGAGCAAAGGAAAGAGGTGCTGGTACTGCGAACCGGCACACAGCTAGCACTGGTGAAAACCCAGATTATCTCATAGTTTATGTTTTATAATTAAAATGTCCTATTGTTGTTTTAAAGAAGAAATATAATTGCATTTATTTAATGTACATTTTGGTTTTTATAAAATTACCATGGCTGCATGGGTTGGCGCCTCAACCTGGGTTGTTCCCCCACATCCCTGTATAAGACAAGCGGTTACAGAAAATGGCTGGATGGATGGAGGGATGGATGGATAGATGGAAGATTACTGGGGGTCTTAATAAGCATGCTAATTATGCACTTATAGGGAATTCAAGCCAATGACACCATTTTACCGTGTGAAAAGTGAGGTTTCCTCTATAAATCCCAAATCACACTTAGGTCTTTCCTTCGGCTAAACAGAATGTGAGCGGCGCAACTGTCGCGTCTGCGCGATGCGCCTGCGTCTGTGCAGGTCCTGCGCATTACGACAACCCCGAGAACCGCAGCGAATCCCTACCCAGAATTGCGCAGCAGGGTTGCGCAGACACACTGCCCAAGGAGCGCAGCCATTATCCAGCTCCGCAACCCGGACTGCTAAGCTTCATTACATTCAGCAAACGAATAACACCACAAAAACACCCCTGGCAATCTCATTCCTGAAAATAACATACTATTTTCATGTTTGTGTCCTGGTGCAATGCATTAAAAAAGAGGTTTCAACGCCTGAAGATATATATTTTTTCTAAAACTTGCAAAACTAGCTGGATGAACCGATACCACAATAGCTTTTGGGTGAATGTGGTGGCAGGAATGAAAATCTGTAGAAACGTTCTCGGCGAATATCCTGTGTTATCCATTCTCAAGCTTCTCACGTTTATATAGATATCTGGTGTACATGTAGAGTTTTAAAGGAGTGAACGATAGCTCGGGGACTGAATTCTCCCTGGACGTCAAGGTATCCCCGCTGTGTGGCAAAGACTGCGAGCTTTCAGCAGAGTGCGGTCCGTCTGTTCCCGGAGGAGCGAATCAGTGCCCCGTCCTCCTGCGTGAGTCGCGCCGCCGCCGCACGCCGCTTGCGCGACACTCTCCTGTCTGCAGACACATATATCGCTGTTTTCTTTGTATCAAAGAAAGATGCCGCGTTGAATTTAAATTCACTATATTAGAAAACGTGCTCAGAGGCCGGATTTCGTTTGATTTACCTGCGAGTTTAATTTGTTTATTAATTAAGATTAATTACGTTATATACACAAAATTATACAATTACGCTCACAGGCGACTGAACCTTAAGCATTTCTCACCTCCATGCATGTGATGCCAGTCCATGCCTGGCAGAGGCACATCGAGACGGTTATGTCAGCTGTCAGACAGTGTAGTCAAGTTGAGACCTCTGGGATTACAGCCTCAGTAAGAATGCGGATGTAAGGACTACCAGAACACACTCTTACACTTCGAGGGCACTTTAAAGAAATCAGGTCAGTTAACTGATGTCTTTGGACTGTTGGCGGAAATTTCTGGAACATGTGGAGAACACACAAGCTCCACATACGCCAAGTCAGGGCAGAGTTTGATTTGATTTCCTTCTACCATAAAGGTGGGATGCACCAGTGCCTATTGTTATTAGTAGTAGTAGTAACAGTAGGCCTAGTAGTGGCCAGTAGTAACACACATATTCAACTCAAAGGGTATGTTATTGCAATAACTTGTTTGAGTTTAAGTTGACGTTTGTCGGTGCAGTTGTACAGCAGTGAAATCACAATTAGCCGCTTTCACTGCAGGCTGACGCCGATCATATGTATATTTTCCATGCAGTATCCCAGTAATCCTCACCAGCTTGGTGGCCACCAGGAGCAGCCCCAACATCGTTCCAGTCAGCTCCACCGGCCCGCCCCAGCTCGCGTTGCCTGGGTGACAGCTGCACATGTTTCTCCAGCTGTGTGTGTAGCACGTGCTGGAAGGGTTGATGTGTCCTAAGATACAAGCCTCTGCACCAGTTTCCACTAAATATTCCAAACTCCAGTATCTGATGATTAATACTCTGACGAATGACCTATTCCTATTTCTGGGGTCCTGCTGTTTAAACTTTAAAGGAAGTAAATCATTAGTATAACATTACTTTTACCTTTTTTAGCAGTTACTTTTAGCGAAAGCGACATGCATTTTTGGAGTCAGCAGCATCAGCCAGTACCTGGAGCATTTGAGGGTTTACAGCATCACACGAGGATCTAATGGTGACATCACTCTATTGACACTGGGATTTGAAACAACAACCTTTTGATCACAGTCATAGTACCCGAACCCACTGAGCTATACACTGTCCCAGAAGGCTAAATTTCAGGGTTATGCATATTTCAAATAGGGTGATTTTGTGATTAGTATTATACATGAAATCGCAAGCTTCGGGTGGTCTGTGATTGGTGTCGAGAGACTTGTGTGATGCATGTCACCTGGGCTACGGCATCGCTGAGGCTGCAGTAGATCACACCACGGTGAGGTTTATGATGGAATGACGTGGGTCCTTGCTTCTCCAGCCCCTACGCTGGCAGAGATGCACAGCATGTCAGCCAGCGACAGCGAGATGAGCCCCCGGTTCATCCTGCAGCCACCGGCAGCCGAGATGCTCCCCGCCACCGAGTTCACGCACCAGGCCATCGTGCGCCTGATCGAGGCCGTGGGCCGCCGGCTGGACTTGTACGGCTCGCGGGAGCGAGCCCGCCTCTTCCACAGCGTGCAGCAGGAGCTGGAGGCTCAGGGTCACTGCCTGCCCGTAGAGAGGATCCGCCGCAAGTGGAACAACCTCATCGTCACCTACAAGCGGGTGAAGGACAGGAGCCGTGAGACAGGCCAGGCCAAGACTTCCTGGGAGTATTACGAGGTGTGGCCAGCAGGGGGCTCCTGCGTCTGGGCCAGGGGTCTCCAACTCCAGTCCTGGAGAACCCTAACCCTGCACACTTTTGGGTTTCCTCTCATTTAACTCACCTGATACTACTTCTCTGCTAATTACCGACCATTTCTTCAGCTGAATCAGGTGCGGTGGAACAGGGAGAGAGCTGAGGTGTGCAGGGCTGGGGTTCTGCAGGATCGGAGTTGGAAACACTTGGTCTGTAAGCATGAGGGCGCTGTGAGAAGAATCTAGAATGTTCTGAAAAGCAACTCCCTATACTCAGTGCTGCTGTGTGTATTCCAGTATTACCTAAGGAACTTAACAGAAAACACAGCGATGCAGAAGTTCTCATGGTTTAAATAAATAGAACTTATTGTCAGTAAATGTATATATACCATAAAAAAGGCCAAGCCTAGATCGACTTGGTGAAGCACCATAGCCCAGGATTCAACTGGCTGCTGTAGTAGCCCCAGGATTCAACTGGCTGCTGTAGTAGCCCCAGGATTCAACTGGCTGCTGTAGTAGCCCCAGGATTCAACTGGCTGCTGTAGCGCGCAACTATTCCAGTTCCCAGAATCCTCAGCAGTTCAAACGCTGTTCTAGTTAGATCTTTTTATTCATCATGAACTATTTGCAGACAGTTTAATAAACAGTAGTGTTTTGTGTATGAGTGTGTGACCACCCATTACTGTGAAAGTTACTGATGTCAGAAGCCGCAGCGTTTTGTCCTCAGGCGAATGCAATTAGGACTATCTCTGTAGATCTCATTGCAGTTTGTGCCATTCTGTTTGTTCATGTTTGGCAATTAATAGTACCAGAACCGGTATTCCTGGCTTGCCCAGATTTGGAAAAAGCATGCTAAGGATTAAAAAGACTACACCTTTTGGTTATCACAAATGTAGCATGCAGAATGCTGGTCTTTGGAACAGCCTCACTGATTTAGGATCAGTAGTTAGGGTCAGTCATGCCATTCGAATCCCACTGAGCATGATTATCTGCAAGGCCTCTAAAAGTTATATGATGTTGTGTTGACACTTCTTTTCCCTGTCACGTCCTTCTCTTACTTCAACTCATCCCTCCCTCTCTTTTCCCCTGAACAGATGATGGACGCCATGTTGGGGAAAACCATCGGTGCCCACAGCAGTGCCCCTGCCTCGGTGACGCTGGTCGACATGGCGACTGTTGCCAAGGCCACTGCCACCACAGAACTGTCCTCATGCAGCAACATGGCCAACAAGCCCAGCTTGTTCCCTGGGGGGCTCATGGGCACGTGCGCCCATGTCCCCTCGCAGTTGCAGCCGGCGACTCACAATGGTGCTGCCAGACCACCGGGCAATGCCGACGCCCTGCAGCCCCAGCTCGCGGCAGGACCCTGCCGTTCGCGAGCACGGCCCAGGCTGAGGGGCGGGGCCTCCTCCTCCGCGGCGGCCGGATGCTTCCTGTCCCAGCAACATGGGCAGGCGGGAAATCGCACCACCCTGCTGAAGAATTTTCTGTCCGCCCAGAAGGAGCAGGGCCAGTTGGAGGAGGAGCAGCAGCGCAGGGTGGAGGCACGGGAGAAGAGGAGGGAGAAGAGGGAGGTCAGGATGACTGACGCGCTGGGCCGCATGGCTGCTGCACTGGAGCTGGTGTCCTCTAAGCAGGATACAATCATTGCCCTCCTGCAGAGGCTGGCTGACAAGCCATGATAGACCCTCACTGGGCAGAGTGCAGAGGTGTGACTTGTGATGTTCTGTGCCTTAGATATGGTTCCTACAGATGTTCTGTGACTTAGGTATGGTTCCTCCAGGTGTTCTGTGACTAATGGTGTGGTCCTTACAGATCTTCTTTGCCTTGGGTGTAGTTCCTACAGATGTTCTGTGGCTAACGGTATGGTTCCTCCAGGTGTTCTGTGACTAATGGTGTGGTCCTTACAGATCTTCTTTGCCTTGGGTGTAGTTCCTACAGATGTTCTGTGGCTAACGGTATGGTTCCTCCAGATGTTCTGTGACTAACGGTGTGGTCCCTACAGATCTTCTTTGCCTTGGGTGTAGTTCCTACAGATGTTCTGTGGCTAAGAGTATGGTTCCTCCTGATGTTCTGTAACTTAGGTAAGATACCTAGAGATGTTCTGTGTCATAGGTGCAGTTGCTACAGATGTCCTGTGGCTTTGGCGTGGCGAGTATGGATGTTCATGTCATACTTCTTTTGTGTAGGGGTACCTCACAGTCAGGCCTCATAAGCCTTATAATCAGTTTGTGACGGGAGTCACACACCCCGTTTCTATGGCAACAAAAGTGACGTTCTGTCTTAGGCTGGTATAGCTTTCTATCAGGGAAGACGTGTCTTGTGTCTTGTGTCCTGCCTCCTGTTACAAGGAGGCCTGCACCCCACACAGTTCCCTTTATTCTGTTATAATGCTTGGGAATAATGGAAATATACAAATCCCTTCAGTCAAAGGAGGCTGACGTGCAATTTGTATTATTTTTCTTCTCAAGCTGAAGTCATGTTTTTCAATTTCTTCCACTTCTCGCACTCTTGTTTGCATAATGAAACACAAGCTGACATAGTTCAAAGGTAATTTGGGTATATTAATCACATTGTTGAAGTATTAGTTGATTCTTTAACTGCATGCCCAAGAATACACTACTTTAAAAAATGTCTGAATATACTTAAAGTTGCAGTTGTGTCCGGCTTATTGCTGATAGAACATGTTAACTTGGCCATTTTGGATTTGTAACTGGTTATGCTGAAAATGAAGGGTACCTGTAAATGTGAGGAGACAGCAACAGAAATACAGGATTTGTTTAGCCAAGGTACACTTTTTAAATTTCTTTCAGTTCTGTCTGATACATGTTTGTTCTATAAGATAGGATGTGGTTGGTAGGAGTGCTGAGTCTGTATACAGTATATACATTTAAACTTGTTAAACTTTTCAACATGTCTGTGGAGTAATTAAGAGACCTAATACAACTTCTAGAATCAAATTACACTCACCGTATTTGAACAAAGTTGCAACTTAACATAGCAAGGTTTGAGATTTTTATTGCTCATAGAAGGCTAAGATCAGGTCCTAATGCACCACACTTAAACAGTATGCAGCATTTGGATTTTTCACATCATAGGATGCATCACAAACCAGTATTCACTTAGCTGTGGTGAAATATGAGATGGACCTTAATCAGCAGTGGCACTGTGAGAGATTTTGAGCCCCATGAAAGTATATCATATTGGTCCCCCCAGTACAGACCAATTGAGTTATTTTTCAAGTTTTTTAGGGCCCGTCACTCAGGGGCCCTTGGAATCATCCTATGCCCCCCCCCCCCCCCCCCCCCCCCCCCCCCCAGCCCCTTTACAGCCAGTACTAATCGCTAATGGGTTTTCCCCCCAGTAATACACAAGTCATACATAATTCAGTAAATAACTTTCTAGAAGGAATTTTCCCATAACTTGCTACGCAAATGACTACGGAATGAATTATAGATTCATATCACAACAAAATCACAGTACTTCCAGACAACTTGCTTTCAAATGGGCTTTGCTCTATATAAAATATACTGAGAATTATACATGGGGAGAGAGGATATGACGAAGGTGGAAAATTGTACGCATATTGAGTCAGTCTTTGTCACGAGAGGACGGATTTAGGTCACCCCATCAGTACAATCCAAAATGGAGAAAATAAGAAAAGGTATACTGCGATCCAATTTACGGCCGAGTTGTATATCACGTGTACAGCTAACAACAACCTCACATAAACTCATATGTGCCAGAAATAATCTACACATATTACTCACGGGCAGCACAATGGGCATGATGTATTGTCGCAGTAATGCATTTGGATTAGTTTCAGACTACACTGTACGAAAGTGTCTACTAAGGAAGCGATGTGAGAAATGAGACTGAAAACCACGATCGAATGACATGATAATAGATAGAGGCACGACGTAAGGCTTACGAAACCAACAAAATAACCAACGGGATGTAAACTGGTAACTCACATGCATGCATTTTAAAACTTTGTTTGTATCATTGGTATATTTGGCCGGTTCTGTCACCTACAAGCCTACTATTGAGTATCGCCTGTTGTCATACACTCCGCAGCGAGTACTACGCTTTTTGTCCACTAGGGGAGGTTCTGCTCAAAATAATATCTATGCTTCACATAAAGGTGAGAACTGTTGATTCGAGCGGGTGTAAGGGAGTAATGGCGGACAATGTTAGCTCGATATAAAACATATACGTTCTTATGATTTCAGTCGTTTTACTACGCACATAAACTGCTTTTGTAACGTTAGATAATAATCAGAACCAAAAGACCCCGTTTGAAAATTTAGAACTGGTGCACGTACCATCGGCGATAAAACCACAACATACTGATTGGTTTACACCTTGACATCATTTTTTACTGTTATTGGACTGTTACGACCGGATGGATCACGATGGAATCCGATTGGGGCAGATTTCCATCAATCAAGCAGAACCCAATCGCTGGCGAGCGACATTCAGCCGGAAGAAGCCGGAGCGGAATGGAATGGGAGGGGTTTCAGGCTGAAGTTTTTTGGACATCGGAAGCGAGTTTTGCTGGGTTGCTGATGCCGAGAAATGAACGTTAAAGCTCGTTAACAGATAACAGTGGAATTTTTATCTAATCGATCCGATACGCTCGTGATTTGGTGGAGCGTGATGGGATGCGCGTGCCCGTAACCGTTTCCTTCCCCGTTTTTTGAGCGGCTGCTGGCAGCTTGCATGTGTTTTTCGTGGCGCCGGCGAGGCGTATGTCTGGCTGTAGCTTAAAAAAAACTACTAATATCCGCAGAGAGAAAAAGCGGCCGCCGCGTTTGATGAGCGGCCGTGGGGCAGCGTGCTGGATACAGCGACCACCGCCGCCCAAGCGTCCAGGTGAGTTTCTCTGTCATGCCGCTTTGACAGCTCGTTTAATCCGGCTGAAGGCATCGGTCGGTTCACCTCGACCCGGGGAATAGGGGTGACCAACTCGTTCCCAGACCGTGTAACCGCCTGTGAAGATTAACTGGGAGCCCACAGGACAGCTGACAGGCTGGGTTATTAAAACCAGGGTCTCCTAGGTTTGTCACACCCGGGCTGACTGGTTTGGTTTGGTTCGCAGCTGTTTTCGCTGAGGGTGAAAAATTTGGGTCGCGTCCCCGTTCCGGCGTCACACACTCGCAATCTTTTAATCCTCTCACACAAACACCTACTTGCTCAAAAGCCCCCCCCCCCCTTCAAATGAGCTCCAGCCCTGTTTTATTTTTCCTTTTTATTTTTCACATTTTTATTCGCCAGCTGCAGTTGGTCACCGCGAGCTTCGCACTCAAAACCCGGTAGCTAAGCGGCGTGGTCGAGCGTGTGGGACCGGAGCCCCTGCAGAAAGGTGCGTTTCTATGAAAATCAAAGCAAGACAAAAAATAAAATAAAGCCCACTAACGGAGCCTGCTTATACAACGCGCCCCCCTCGGTGGCATGAAAACGGGTATTGTGATGAATGCCGAGTGATGCTGCGGGGCCGAAATGAGGAAGCCGTGAGCTGCTTTGCGGTTGCTGCCTGTCCCATTTCGGAGTGATGTCGTTGTGAAAAATAGCACCCATGAAAACTGCTTCTTAATGTCGTCCAAGGATATCTGCATGGATTTTGGGTCTTTTTAGTGTGTACAGGTGATTTGTATTTAACGATGTATTTATTATTATTAATAATAATAATAATAATCATAACAATAATAAACTCCTGCTATTTTACACATTTCTCTTTTGCCTGAAAAGTGTATGCCTTCGGGCTGGGCTGGGGTGGGGTAGGGTGGGGTTTTATGTACGACATCATCACAACCTTCTGCTATTTCCTTCTTAACATTTTTTTAAACCAGTCCTGTCAGGTCCAATACATGAAAGATAGATATGAATAATAACCAATTATATATAAGTAAAGCTGATATATACACTGAACCCTTTTCTGCTTAGGTGTGTTTTCACACATTTCCCCACAGTCTTTAAGGTTTTAACGGTCAGCATTTTACTGACTTGGAAGCAGCCCTGTGTGGCTGTATGGGAGTCCGTCTGCCCCCAAGGAGTGATGTACTTCCTGCACGTGTGGTTTGGCCTGTGGTTTGAGTTTCGAATCTGCACTCCTTCATAGCATCTTCATAGCGTAGCGTCATGTTTTTTAATTGTTCTCACATTTGGTTTTTCTCCCTCGCTATCAGTGGATTGTTTTTTTTTTTCATTGACTCTTCATTGAATTATGCAGGTAACAGTCACCTTTCACTGTTTCTCTCAGCATCTCCAATAATAAGATAAATCTGCATTTCTCCACAGCCTGACATCTGTATTAGCTGGACTTGATAGCCTAACGTGTTAGCTGGGTAAATTTAAACCACTTTTAAGGAGTCCTCCCGCGGCCCAAGCCAGCCGTTACAAACCACAACCCTCCGATGTGCCCAGGCATGCAGGGACACGCAGGGAAGAATGCCTGCAAGACCGCAATCTCTGCTTTCTAAGAATCGCAGGGCACTTTCCTCCACAAATGTTTTCTGCTGGTCTTCAGTAGCCTGTCTGCCCAGCTCGAGCCAAGCGTCTTGTACGTGGGGGTATGAGGATAATTTCAGGCAGAGGAGATTTTAACCACCAATCAAATCATACATTTTTGTGGGGGGGGGGGGCTGTTGATCACAAACAGTCACTACACTTTTGAGTGGTGCCCCTGGTTGCAGGGTCTTGGCGTGATGTGTGCGAGGTATCATGCTGTCTGAGGACAGCTGCCTGGTGCACATTTGCTCTAGCCCTGGTCATAGACCTCCCCCCCTGACCCCTCACCACGTTTTTGTCTCCCTGTGCTGTTTTCACTTCTGTTTCCACACAGAAAAAAATCTTTTTGTGGTGAAGGTCACTCATGGTGGGAGAAGGGCGGAGACTAGGTGTGATTGAGGTTGTGGGGCGGAGCTTGGAGGGTGGGCGGAGCCTCTCAGTCCAGTTGCTTCATTGACTGTAGGTACATGGTGAGGCATTAGCTGGTGAGGTCAGCGGTTTAGGGCTAGAAGTGACTCCATCCGTTTTGTCCTTCCAGTTTCCATGCGGCATCTTTGGTAATGTAATGTGGTGAAAAATGAGGGAATAGTGTCAAGCGAATTGGTTACTCAGCAGTTAGGAAACTGAGAATGTCCTCGTAATGTGTTCCGGGGTGTTTACAGGGGGGGAATCCTGAGAGCGGGGCAGCTTTGAGGAGAGTGCTTTCCCAGCCAGGAAATGCATCAGTGCTAGAGAATGGGGTCCCACCCAGGCCGCCTGTGTCAGTGCGCAGCCTCGCCCTGCGGCCCAGAGTGTCACCCGAGCCAGTGTGGTCACCCCAACCTAGATGGAAAGCCATCCTCAGGGTGTCACTCACAGGCCATCGGGGCCCAACCCACCGTGGCCAGGCCAGGTTTCCCGGCCCGGGAGCCGCACCCGTGACTCCGCATGGCACCCAGACCCAGACAGCTTCTGCTCCAGACCCCCAGCCCTGCCCCAGGCTCCTCCCCAGCCTTGGCTCTGGTTGATGACATTTCTGTGCGAGTTTTTGTTTTATGACTCCTGTGGTTTATCTCTGCTCGGGGGCTGGGGGGGGGGGATGCGGGGTCAGAGGGAGCTATTATATCGGTCAATAACTTTATTGCTCCGGTCTCTGATTGTCTCTAATGTTGATCCCATGCTTGAGCAGGCGGGAGAGAGGTAGACAAACCGGGCACCGGCTCGAAAGACCTTCGGAGCTGATCATTATTTCTGCCGCGGGGCTTAGACTTTCCACCGCTGACGTTCTTAAGGGGTCCAATCCCCCCCCCCCCCCGCCGGATGGCAGCCCATGACTGGTCCCAGCGGGGAGCATTTTGGAGCAGCACTGTGCCTCGGGCTTGGGTGGGTGCCTTCCGAGCCGGCCGGTGAGCAACCCGTGCAGCTGCTAGCGCTGCAGACTCATCTGGGTCCCTCTGTGATAATGAGTCCTGTACTGGTGATTGGTTTTGGTCTGCTTGTCACTGCGCGGCAGGGCCTGACGGTAACTCGCCACGCATGTGCCGTTTAAACCCGTGTGCCGGCGCATCAACATGGGTCTGCTTCAGTTATGGCTGCGTCGTCATGGAAACAGCCCGGTCGCTTAGCAGCCGCGTGTCCCCGTTACCCCGTTAAGAGCGTGTGGGCGTCGGCACGTGGGCGTTAGCTTTTATGGACACGCCGCACTGCGCTGACTTGTCTGGCAGGATGCTGTGTTTATGTGTGTGTTTATGTGCATGTGGGTCGGTGGGCAAGACTGAGCCCTCTTTTGCCCCCTGGCTGGAGGGGGAGGTTCTGCCTCACACCTCTACCAGTGTGCTGCAGTTCGCCGGTCCCAGTGGGCCCTGTCACTCATCACTGGAATTAACATCCGATAATGTGAGAATCCAGGTTTGTCATGTATTAGCAGTGATGTAAAAATACAGTGTCTTACCATATTAGGACGGTGTATGGCTTATACTGTGCCTGTGATCAGAAGGTTGTTGGTTCAAATCCAAGGGTCGGCAAAGTAATTTCCCCATTGGCCTCCTGATCAAGGACTGGCTAACTCTGCTTTAAAAAATGTGCATGACTATAACAGTCTGCTAAATAAATAAAAAGCTGTAATGCTTATTCATCACATGGTGGTGCATTGGGTCTGCCCCCTCAGAGCAGCAGGGCTGTGGGTTTGACTCCTGTGTGTGTGTGTTTGTGTTCCTGCCTCTGTGTGTGAGTGAGAGTGTGAGAGCGAGCGAGCATGTGTCCCCTACCTCGTATTCTCTGCTTCCAGGGCTCGCGAGACCCTGTACTGGTTTATGGAAACGACATGGATGGATTTACCTAGTTTTTCCAAGCTGTCTGCACAGGCTTCAATTGCTGCTTTTATTCTGGTGATCAACAGTGGTTGTTCCTTCCCTCTTAGAACCAGTGAAAAGTCAGGTCCTTAAACCGCTGTGCCCCCGAAAGTCTGTAGTCCTTCTGCTGCCTGTTTATTTTATTATGAATAGTGCACTTTGACAATATTTACTTCTATTTAATTAAAGAGTCGTTCTTTCCTTCTGCCCCCGACCCCCAGGCGTGTCTATCACCTGCCCCCTCGCCCTGGCGGTGCAGGAGCCACCCAATGGGCAGGAGCGGATCCCCGGCGATGCGGTGGTCGCCGTGGCGCCTGGTTCCACCTCCAGCCCCCAGAGCGAAGCAGTGGCCGATGAACTGCAGGAGCTTTCACTGCAGCCCAACGCAGCTCTGCTGCTCCCCCTGCAGGAGAGGAAGAATGGTCAGTACTCCCTCTGTCTC